AATAAAAAAATAGGGACAAAAAAGTAAAATCACTGACCAGAATTCTTGGTCAACCGTGATAAGCTTTTCTACTTGAAGTGCGTGGTACTTGTTCCTTGTTCACTTACACAAGATAACAGTAGTTTGGAGTATTGATATAGCAAACCCTTTGGTAGGAATCAAATCCAAACTGATTCATGGAACTGTGACTCTACATCCATTCAAAATCACTTTGGTGTTTTCTCTCACTGACGTTGGCTTTCAATATCAGACCTTATTTTTACTTTTTCAGACTTATGCTGCTAGGAAAGGTCTGGAGGCAAGCTGTCACAGTGGCTACTTTTTTGCTGTCGTTGCACTTCAGTGGTCTGATGCGTTGATATCTAAGACGAGGAAGAATTCTATTGTAATGCAGGGCACTGAGTAAGTAGGAATTTTAAGCTGCAAAAAGAATAAAATTACAGAAATTCTCCAAAAGGTGTAATTTCACATGCGCCTAATGTCTGTCCCTTACAAACACCCATGACATAATTGTTTGTTATTCAAACCCATCCATGCTTTGGGTTCGGATGAGTTAACCATCACAACCTTTTCTGCACAATTTTGTTCCCCTTAGGATTTCCTGGGTAAGTCTAGATCAGGTTGTATTGGAATGACATGTACGCTTACGTTCTTTTTTGTAAGTTTCATGAATATCAAATCTTCTAAGGAACCAAGTACTAAATACGTCCTTAATTTTCACAACCCTCATGGCTATGTTCATAACAGTAACTCCGTATGTGAAAGATGTACTGAAACTCAATGGGATACGGTATGTACAGTTTTCCTTACCTAGTGATAATTTCTCCTTAGTAGTTGGGTCCGAATGTTTTACTTTGTAGCTTGGCCGATGCAATGATCTCCGTCTACTATGCGTTTGTGATGTTCGTATACGATGAATGCCGAAGATGGTATCTTCGAAAATATCCTACAGGATTCATATATAGAGAAACCTATTTCTAAACGTTTAATGTTTAAGATCATGTGCCACATGTATGTGATCTAATAAATGTTTAAAGTTGCCTGTTTAAAGTAGCGTCCGATACATCCATTTTTCAGCTAAGGGTGAAGAAGGCTAGCGTGAGTGAGAGCTTTACCTCTCAAACTTGAATATCCTCATTCGTGAACAAATCGCTCGCTTTGATCTGTCGCTCCTCTTCTGTCTACATACCAACCCGAGTCTGGGTATCTGTCTGTCTCTTGTCTGTCTAACGCACGAGAATCGTTTCAAATCAAAAAGGACTCTGAAAATTCGTTCAACATCAACGAAGTGTTGTGAGTTTGGTGAAGCTTCTCGCAAGGTACTCCGAAAAGTGGTTGAACTTTAACGGAGTACCGCAAGCTTGGACAGTCACGACATATGCACATATGTTCGATTGGAAAAAACGGAATGGGCTTCGTCAAAACAAATTTTCTTACCTATTTCCGTGCAGCCTTGATAGGGGAAAAAGTTGGCGAAGGTGAGGAATGAGAGAAAAAAAGGAGTAAAGGAGACAGTGAGCGGAGCACATTCACAGTTGGTGCTACCTTCTGCGTAAATTCATTGCTCGAATTTATTACCGACTGGAGGCTCAAAAAAATGTAGAAAGGGGGAAGGGGGTAGTGGACTGGCGCACGCCTAGCGCGGATAAAAACACAAGTTTACAACTTCGTATAGGATTGTCCTAGAAGCCGGGGTTGAAGTGATCAGTGCCTATCAAACGATTAGAAGCGACAGTAGGCGTAGGCGGAGCTGAGATTGGATCTTCAACAATACTAATGAAAAAAAAATTGGAATCTTGAAAAGGTGGTTGAAGCTTACGAAGGAGCAGTAATTAAATCTCTATAGTGGACGGAGCGTGATTTTTCACTAAGAACTCAAAACTTTCACAAGGAAGTGAGGACCGTTTTAAGCGGAAAGATGGCAGTACGCAGGGTGTCCCAAAATTATTGGCGCCGATTCACAGCAATACGTTTGAAACTTCTCAGTTGCGAAAGACGATGAAATTTCTGTGCACGATAGCCAACACCATTTGCTACAACATGCTACAAACACATTTTGAAATACCCCATTAGCCCTCATAGAGGCCCAAAGTTTGCTCTCGACTTGATCGTATGTGACACGCAGGTATCCTTCTCCATTTCTTACCAGCCGTTCTTCAGTCTTGCTTTCTCGAACTCCAAGGGCTGCTTTCATAGTCCGCCGACCGGCCGGCGTGCAGGCGTGCAGGTGGAGGCAGTGCTAGGGAGGAGGAGGGAAGCAGACGGATAGGCAGACGGTCCACGCCCCTTCGACGGGCTGAAAACAAACAACCTTCGGAGGGGCGTGGACTGTTTGCCTTACACTGTTTGCCTCCCTCCTCCCCCCTAGCACTGCCTCCGCCGGCACGCCGGCCGGCGGACTATGAAAGCAGCCAAACTGGGACTGCAAACTCGACAGGCCCTCTTCTAATCAGGGGCCATACGGGGCAGCCAAGTGAGTCGAGTTCCAGAAAACAGGATGGCCATTACTTTTCGCCGATGAAGTCGATCAGCTGTCCTCGGCACCACTCGTGTGCAAGCTTGGCTCTGTGGGTTGTAGTAGCGTCCTGCTGGAATGACTACGAGATGTTTCAGGAAACGCATTCGGATCAGTGTTTTATCACGTCCATCAGTAGCTTTGAGCACTGGTCTTGGTCAGTTTTCACGCCGGCACCGAAGAAACCACGAGCCTCTTACCCTTGCCAGTGACTTCTTCAAAAAAAACATCATAATTCTGTCCTTATAGCAACCTTTTTGTGAGGAATTGCACGCTAGATGTTTTTTTTTTGGATTGCGAAGGTTTTGGTTGTTGAGGGATGGTTTTATCATAAAAATTGTTCTGGCCAGAGAAAGCGAGGAAGGGTTGCGTGACATCACTCAAGTGGGTCTGCGACTTTCTGCATTTTTTGGCCCCGCACTATTTGTTGAGATTCGAATTGAAGCAAAGCTTCTGCATACGATAGGAATGGAAATGGGGGTTCTGATGACATTCTTCCATCGCGATAACTCCGGTAAGCCCTGACCGTTGACTTCCTTTTGATAGGTCTCCCAGGATCCCGACCGATTGGCAGACGGACCATTTTAATTGTCCCATCTTTAGAAACATTCTACTTTTCTACATTTCCTGATTTGTCCCTGATTCAATCTTCTTTTTATATCGTTTAATAGCCTCCTATGCGGTTATTATAAAAATCCCAACAAACCTCATAATGCCTTCCGCCTCTGTGGATCAACGATTGCAAATGGCAATTGCTGATTGAGAATGAATGAGCCTCCTCCATCTAAAAGATATTGGGAGTTCCACATCAGTAGCAATGCATATCGCAAGGAAACCTCCTTATGCAACTAACTGATAGCAGGTAACGTGAATTTGATAGATTATTCCTACCTTAAAAAATTCTGAATTTTGGCGCCAATAATTTTTGGACATCACTGTAAATGTGTCATCGATATTAAAGGTATTGCAGTCAATCTCTTCTATCAGTTGTTCTGGACCAATGAAGGACTCGATGTATCCGTCTACATACCCCTGCCTGTAGGGAAAGTTGGGCGCAAATGATATGATGGTACAGAAGTGTTCATTTAAAAGAAGGTTCTTGAGAGTCGTTAAACTCACTGAGGTTGGCTACTTATCAACCTGGACTCCAGACTAACATTCGTAGCACGTTGAGGAGGTCATCGTAAAAGCTAGTTATATAGTCTTTAGGATCCTTACACGACCACCTGGTTACTTCGAACACGAGAAAAAATGGGAAGGTCGAGGGCCAGTAAAATGAAGCAACGGTTGCATAGTGTTGTGACTTGCGTACGACTCTATTAAAGGGTCGCGCTTGCTCGGGCGTGCGCGGGTCCTAGCGCGCAAGCAACGTACGCAGCCAATGTATGCCATGTACCACCGGGCCTAGAAAAGGGCTTCGTTCGCATTCACTCTCTGCTACTACCGCGTCCTGCTCCGTCGTCCAGCGTAGTCTCCAGTCTTTCTCGTCACGGTCGACCCGGTCGCCTCGTTGTAATGTTAATCTTCTGGCGTATCGGCTGTGTTATCCTGCTTACCGTGCCGTCATATTCGTACGGGAGACTGCGTATTATTCATCACCAGTTGGGCTACGCACGCTAATGCGTGTACCACATGCCCACTTCCGCTTACCTACGACTTGTTAGAGGACCAATATGAACAGTATCGATTGACTTCCCATTTCATAACTACTTCCTCCCCGCGCTCACGCGGCATTCACACCCTTCGTCGTGACTACGTGACTTACCGCCCAGCTAATGATGCCTTTCTGAACACGAAATCCGACACACTCCACACAACTTTGACACATGACCCAAAAAAGAGGGGAGCTGGCATAAGCAGGGCAGCGCGAGTGGTATTTAGGGTGTGCCGATGCTTACGCCTACGAGTAAAACTGTCAGTCGGTTGCTCTTCATCTTTAAAATTATGAAGCATCAAAGGTTTAACTGGTAGGCAACCAAAGAATTGAGTAGTACTCACAAAAGCTTTAAAGTGATAATAACACCATTATCAGATGTCGTTATCACTGCACCTTCTTTCCTCCACGGGTACACCTCCACGGGTACATCATTAGTTGAGAATCTCGAATTATTGGCGGTCGGATGAGCTTTGTCGTAAATGATATCAAAACATAAAGTAACCTCGATATTCCACCAAGTTACAAACCTTGCTGGGTAGCGGTCGTAATCAATACAATAGTCGTAATCATAAATACATCGTAAATACCACAGGAGTTAAATTCAGTTAATAAGTGCTCTCATCAGTCGTTATCAGTTGTTATCAGTTCCTATCATCGGTCCTCTACGATCTCGCCATACTCCACATCATATGCCGAGCTGTCAAGGCTCATGTGACTCTGCGCGGGTGGGGGAAGGTATGTGGAAGCCCCTCTTGTACCTGGTGATGCATTCAATCGACGTCTCGCCTGCAACTTCACATGGCACCTGGCCTTAGCTATGTGGCGATGCAGAGAGGATCGCGTGATGCCAACCATGTTCACTGTACAGAATATCGCTTCCTCGTAGTCCCCACAACCAATAAACACCATTATGTTATAACTTAACTCCATCCGTTCTCACATCGTCTTTGCGATATTATCTTTGATAACGCCGTTACTATTTCTCGCTTGGCCAGCGTCGCATAACGTTTGCACTTGTTGCCGGAGGGAACTATCGGCCAATAATCACCCTACGGCTGAAAAATCTCTCATCTCCGCGCATTTTAGATTGGATAAGGCTTTTACTACCACTTGCCATCATTAAATATGATGACGATCAGCGCACGCAAAGCAAATTTGACCAAAGCACTCACGGCCTTGGAACGCGAAAGGTAAGGTTCCGGCATCTATCCTAGAACTCGTAGATCCACAGCAAAGTGGAGGGGATCTCGATGCTTCCAGGCAGCCATTCAAAACTATGTCATGCACATCAGCGCAGCCTTTCGCACATTGAAGGACAGAAGACAAGCCTTCTTGAATTTCCTCGAAACTTTGGGAAATCAAGAGGAAATCAAGCTTATGAGGCGTACTCGAGTAGACGACATCATAGCCTCTGCTGAGGGTACTCTCAAGATACTTCACACTCGCCTCAGCTAGACTGAAGCGCGTGTCGAGGCTAACAGATTGACAGTACCATCACGGGCAACGCAGAACGAATAACAAGAAAATCCTGCAGTTAATCCGACTGGAAATGCCCACACTCGATCATTTATACTACCGCAGCGATCCTTCGACACATCTTCACGCCCTTGTCATATCCCTCCGTAGAACCTGCACCCATCAGTGGACCTTCTAACGGTAATCCCACATTCCAACCAGTTGTGCAGCTAGGCAAACTGACGTTGGAACCGTTCACTAGGGATATAACACAATTCAAAAGTTTTGGTGCGCATTTGAAAGAGCTATTCATAATGATCCGCATACATCACCGGTTATGAATCCCTATACCTA